CAGCTGTACAATCCTTGGTCCACCAGCTGAATATTACTCATAGTAAGAAACTGAGTATTTCCATTTTGTGACTGCTTTGCTCTCCTAGATTCCTCTATCTTTACACGTTCATGAGTCCAGGTTGCATCAATGGAAGATTTATCTTCTAAAACACAGAGCAACTGAGCTGTGTCGCTGCACTCTACAGAGAGGTCCTGAAGATGCAGGAGAATCTTAGGTGTGTCACCCATCAGTTCTTCAATATGTTTCTCAGCTAACTCAGTGCTTTCTGCAGTTTGTGAAAGGGATCCAGTACGGTGCAGGTTGACATCTCGAACGGATGCAGCTGTGTAGGTGGAACTTTGAGATACTATCCAAACCTGAAATTCACATTCATATGATGATCCTTGAAATGACTTAATTTCCTTTTGGGATATTTTGCTCTCCTGTTTTGTGAAAGAAGAATCTGCCCTGCCTAGGACTTGGTGGATCTCTTACATCTTCCCCAGAACTCTGCCTAGCTAGGGCTTGCACTGTGTAATCAAGTGACAAGAAAAAGAAAAGAATAATAAGACCTTAGCCTTGTCACTTGGCTAGGTTAGTCACATAAAACAGCACGGAAGATGAAGATGAAAGACGTCGTCGTCACTTGGAGGCAGCAGGCCAGACGCAGTATGCTCTAGGATGTCAGGCTCACACAGAAGAAAGTTCATTCCCAGTGATCCAGTGATGAATGAATGATGAAGTCTCATGAGGATGCCACATAGTATCTGGTTCCTTCCTTCTGTTGTCATTGCAGCTATCCAGAGTGACATAGCCTCTCTTTTTTCCTGACTCTCTTTGGGATACCATTTGTTCTCCCTCCATATTGTTATAAACAACACGTAGCAAGTCGATCATTAATGACGCAATGATGAGATGTTGTTTAGAAAAGAAAAAATGTCAAGCAAAGTAGACACCTAACAAAGAATGACTAGTGTAACGCATGGGACGCATACTCCAGTGAGATTTAAAGTACATCGGTTAAATCTTAGTTAAGGACTTAGGGGGACCTGGGTGTTACTTTATTAGTAAACTATGGACTGACTGCAATATGCATGAGACACACAGCAGACTCTCATTAGTAACAGTGGAGCAGGAGGGATGCAGCACATCAAAGTCTTTGAGGCAAGCTGGGCTTTCTTTACCTTTCGGAGTCACTGCGAGCGTAGCTGCACAAGTGGCTTCCCCAGCACTATTGGCGGCTTTGCAAGAGTACTGCCCGGCATGCTCCGAGTAAGCATCGACTAGAAGCATTAAAGCCATGCCTGTGGACTCCTCAAAATGGAACACTACATCTTTTGTTGGTAGCATTGGCTGCTGGTTATAAAACCACTGGATTTCTGGCTTGGGAATGCCAGAAACCCTTGCATGAAATCTGACTGTCTCCCCGCTGTGCACCCTGAGGCTTGCGAGAGGCTGAATGAAGACAGGCTTTTGGCCAAGGGCCTCCTTCTTAAATGAAACTGATGAAGAGACATGCCATTGAGAGTTTGATGTAACTTCTTCAAGTTTGCTAAATCCTGAAAAGAAGCATGCCAATCTTTAATGTCTTGCTAGGCACGGAAACCAGAACTCACTGGGAGTTGTCTACAGACCCACTGCAAATTTCAATGGTGGACTAGAAATCCAGTCCAATCCTAATGCCTTGTCAGTGTATGCCATTATTGACTCAAAGTCACACAAGTGTCCTTCCATTTGCCAGACAAACACGCTGAGACATAAACTAAGAAACTTCACCACATTCTTCTTGAAGGCAGTAATGGAGTATGCAATTCAGTTCAGGTATTCTTGCTTTCTGTTGTTTAAAATCAAGGAAAAAAGCCAAAGTTGCCCTAAATCTTCATGTATTTGTGTATGTTTAATACTACAGAGGTTAAATTAGCTTAGGAAAAATAGTCTTACTGTAGAAAAATACTATCTTATTTTGAATCAAAGTGCCCCCCACCTCCCTGATACTGAAGGAGTGTTTCTGACTGCAGTTTAAGAGCCCGAAGTAACCAATGTTAAACCATCTCACAGCTGAGCCCCTCAACCCTCAGGCAGTCTCTGAATGATGGTGAATATCCATCTAGTGAACATCCAGCTGGTTACAGACCTGAAATCATCAACTGCAGCTTCTGTGAAATCAGAACCGTGTCAATAAAATGAGGGGATGGGAACACTCAGATTAAAAAAAAAATT